ATGCGTATCCCGATGTTACCAGACATTACCAGAGATATACCCCGCGCGCGGAGATTACGATCAAAAATCGATCGACGAACTTTTCTCATGCGCCCTCGGCTTTCGTGTAGCGTAGCCCTCGCGCCTCGTATGATGAGAACCGAGGTAATAGAGCACGAGAATGACGATGGAAGTCAAGAAGGAGAAGAAGAGGAAGAAGAGAAGGAGGAGAGGAGAGGAGGGGGAGGGTATAAAAGGCTGCGAAGGAGTCTCGTATAAAGAGAGGGAAGAATGGTGAAGGGCCCGAGAGATATATCGGCCGTAGCGCGCTATGGGGAGCCTTGTTCACGCAGCGGGATACCCCCTGGGCCCCTCCCAGACTTTACATCTATTTACAAATATTTTGGCGGAGTTGAGGAGATGGGGGGATATAATGGGATGAGAAAGAGAGTGCTCGCGCGCGCGTCGGTCGGCCAAAATCGAGAGAATGCCGGGTCTTATGAAAATCCATTTGGGGTAAGAAATGGCCCGGCTTGTAATACATTAGGGACAGGGAGAGCATTACGCGAAGAAGTGGGCAGAAATTGAAAAAAAAAATACTTCAGTCGAGAGCTCCGGTGAACGCTCGAAAGTTCCGGAAATAACCAAAGTACAAAGGGCAAGCCGCTGCTTTAGATCGCTAAAGTAAATCACGATGGAAAAATCTGTCGAAGAGGTGCGAGAATAAAAAATTTCGCAAAATTCTTCTTTTTTTTTTTTAAGATAATAATAATTGTCTAATATATCATACCAGCTCTTGAGGTGAGTAATTATATTAACAACATGAAATTTTGTTTTTATACAAGATGAGTGAGTGTTATACTACAGGATAGAGTAAAATCATCGATAAATTTTAAAATATAATGAATAAAATTCCATGTAAAGACATGATGTCACGAATAGTGGCCGGAAAATCTGTCGAAGAGGTGCGAGAATAAAAAATTTCGCAAAATTCTTCTTTTTTTTTTTAAGATAATAATAATTGTCATTTAATATATCATATCAGCTCTTAATAAAAAATTTCGCAAAATTCTTCTTTTTTTTTAAGATAATAATAATTGTCATTTAATATATCATACCAGCTCTTGAGGTGAGTAATTATATTAACAACATGAAATTTTGTTTTTATACAAGATGAGTGAGTGTTATACTACAGGATAGAGTAAAATCATCGATAAATTTTAAAATATAATGAATAAAATTCCATGTAAAGACATGATGTCACGAATAGTGGGCGGTAGCCGCGAAAAATGACGCGCCGCGAAGGATGCTGCCTGTTCGTCATTTTATCTCTCCCTCATCGCGCTCGTTTCGATAACCGCTAATTACGGGGTGCATGTCGCTTACACTTCGTTTACATATTTCGTATCGTATCGCTT